TCCTAGTTCGAGGTTGCAATCATCCTGGTGAAACTTCCTATTTAACGTTTATTCCCCGTTTTATCTCTATCCCTCGCCACTCTCTAATCACGTAACGTTTATTACGCGCGTAAAAAGCGCCGTCGTTCTTCCCACCTCCCCTCCCACCTTGCCCCCTCATCCGATTTCTTTTTTTTTTTTGCCGATCATTTGTACACGACGCGTTTAACACGACGGAGGGAATTATCTCGAGCGTTATCTCGAGAGATCGGTGTTAGCTCGGTTAGCTCAGGACGGAGGAGGAGTTTGAGTTCGAGTTTCAGCGTTTCTCGCGATCGCGAGAGCGGACAGCCGGCATAATCTCACGTAAGACTCGCGGCATATACGTGCACGGCCGTAATTAGATTAATACGCCGCGAAATTGGATTAAGAAGGCGAGGTACGACAACTTTTTCGTGAGAACGCCACCAGGGTTAATTAAGGGCCCGACAGGCCGGGTGCGAACGACTTGTCACGTACGAGGCCAGCCTGTCCTCTCTCCCCTTTCTTCCTTCCCCTCTCTATCTCCCCCTCGACCGATTCTCCCCTTTCTTCGATCCTGCCTCCCTTTTTCCTCGAAATGATGAGCCGTCCGATCAATCCTGTATATCATCGGTCTGAAAAAATACTAGTTTCATTCAAAATGCTCGAGCATATACGCTTATTTCGTTTCCTTTTTTAACTCGAATCGAATAAAACCACTCTTCTCTCGGGCAAGATCGTGTGAAAATTATGAAATTAGACCCAATTTTTATTCGAAAAAAGAAAAAAAGAATATCCTTTTCTTCCTCTTCCTCTAAGATCAACGATCACGAACGAAAGAGGAAAGGTAGAGGAGACTTCGAGGCACTTTAAAAATCGAACTTCAAATCTCCTGGAGAGAGAGAAAAAAAAAAAAGGAATCTCTCGCCCCTTGCTAATGCGCGCGGCCTCGGTCTCCGCTAGGCAACAACATTTTTACAGACGCGCCGCGTTCCTCTCGTCTGGGCCCGGGGTCAAAGGGGGCCCCTCCACTTCCTCCCTGTGCGTTGTCTCGGGGACAATCGCGGCGCGTAAGCCCCGCGGTGTCGAAATCGGGCACCGTGGAAACAAAAGGAATCGTGGAGAGGAGGAGGGAGAGGAGTAGACACACGGTGGTAGCTCGCGACACGTAGTCGGGCCACGGTGAAAGCTGGTTCGGGCCCAGGCGGCGTATAATTCGAGGGCACGTCGATAAATCAGTGGCGTGCATTGGGACGAGAGAGAGAGAGGAGGGGAGGATCGATTGTAAGGGGAGAGGGAGAGATGAGAATGCGCGTTGCGACACACGCTCGTCTATGAAGTGGGCGTCCTGCATGGATCGAGTGCCGTGTCTCGCTGGCTTCGATGATAATCCGATGGAGCTGTTTCTTTTTTCGCCCTCTTCGAAACTTTCCTCGTTTCTCCGGGGAAGGGTGATGATTGTCGTTTCGATTTTGGAATTAATTTTTGGCGAAAGAAGAAAAGGAAAGGTTGGATCGAATTTGGAAAAAGTAACTTTTCAATCGTACTTTTTTGAGAAGTTGCGTTACAGTGAAGAAGAGTGATCGAATTTCCTGTGAAAGATTATAGCGTAATAGCGTTTAATAATGAATAAAAAGAAAGTAGGAATGAGATTTTATCTCCGACTCGTCTCATCCAAATTTAACTTGTTTATAATTGGATAAATATTCGTTATCGAGCCTATCGCTTTCACTTCGATGCTTCTTCGTGTGCGAAGAATGAACGAAACGAACGGAGTAACCAAATACGACAAAAGTTAGAAACGAGAATCCCCCTAAGGCTAAGACTTATCGATATCGAGTGATTCGAGTTTATGTCGGTCGAGAGGCTGGTCGAATAAAATTCGAGGCTCGAAAAAGGTTAGGCTTATCGTTACGCGTATATCGCTCGTGTGTCGTGTGACCACCATAATACACGCACGTACACAAACACGTACACGTGGACTAATTCCTCGCCACGCACCAAAGGCCGTGTAACAATAAAACATTACGATTAGACCGCCGTGTTTCCGAGTTTGCGACACCGGTTGCCCGCTCGTAGGCGTCTCCCGTGCCGTATATCGTCATCGTGCCCCTGATAAGTATCGTGCCCGGCCGAAGATCGAGAATACCCCTCCTCCCTCCTCTCTCTCTCTCTCTCCCTGAGTATCTCCCTCGCAACACACAAAGTCCAAGTCCTTCGAATTCTTCAATCGTATTTCAAGAAACGATTCGTATCTGATCCGATGAATCTTCGGCCCCTTCCATTGATTCCCCTTTTCACTCCCTCCCTTACGATTACGATCCTATTGTTCGATTTTTCCAAGATAATCGCATTCGGTATTGTACATCGTCCCTCTCGATCGATTTTTTGCTTTATTAGAAGATAACTTGACGTTCTTCCGGCTCCCTTTCCCTCTTCCTTTTCTCCTTCTTTCTTATCTTTTCTCGAGTTTTAGAAAGTGTTTTTTTTTTTAGAAACAAACACTCGGCGGACAATTTTGTCTACCGTTCTGCAGAAGGAGAAGAAAAAGAAGATTCCGTTTTTTTTTTTTATACATCGTATTTATCCATCTTCTCGAGAGAAATTTAAACCGTTGATACTGTTGTCGTGAAAAGTCGTAAGAATTTTAGAAAGAAACGAGTTTCGAATATAAGAGCCACGAAGGATAAATAAATAAATAAATAAATTCTCGCGCAAGAAAGACAAAGATATCCTCCTCCTCCTACTCAATTCGAAGAGGATCCCTCCGATCGAATCATCTCCCCTGGTATCAAGATACAATGCGATCCGTGTGTATCGCGTAATCGGCTTATCACGGGGAACACGCACGGCACCTTAAGTTAACGGTTTCCTGCGTTCGATCAAACCAGAAACTGGAGGGAGGAGAAAAATGCCGACAGAAATTTGCATCGACCTTTCTCTCCTTCCTCCCCCGCTCGAACGAGAAGAAATCTGCATCGTGAAAGCGTGCGAGGAGATCCTCTCGTTCGAAGGAAATGGAGGAGACGGTAATCAAGTACCGAAGAGGGAGGGAGGGAGGCGTGTGTAGGTGAACAGAGGGACAGAGGAGAGGAGTAGTGTGTCGAATAACTTCCTAGAGGCGCGCCTGTCACGACGCCCCGGGTCATTGGTCACCCCGTGAGCTTATCTCAGCCTCGCCGCGGGCCATCTCCCTCGCCTCTCCCTCCTCCTCCTCCTCCTCCTCCCAACTTTCAGACGGCTCGATTTTCACCAAGCGATTTCATTATCCCCCTGCGCTCGTGGCTATATATATATATATATGCGTGCGTACGGAGAGGCCCCTGAATGGGGCCTTTCACACGGGCCGGCCGATAAATTACCAGCGGCGTTACAACGATCCGGATCCTGTGCATCGCTTCCGTATGGGGGATAGATGGATCGAGGATGAGTCGGGGGAGGACCGTTTCGAACGGAATTCGAGTGATTTAGAAGGGAAGAGAGAGGTGTGGACGATGCTGCTATCGGTGGGATTGGCTTCGTAAAAATTTGTCGGTCGTGGAGGCTCGAGTTTCTACTAGTTGGGGATCTTTTGGTTGATTTGTACGATGATATTGCGAATTTTTAAAGACATTTGTCGAGGATTTGTTGGTGGAGAATGTGGAACTGTGAATGGTTTTAAGAAAATTTCGTCGCAACACCATAGGCGTAGAGTTTGGTGTTGAGAAGAAATCTAATTTCGCGAGTTTTAAAAAGAATTTATAGAGGTTAATAGGAGAGAAAAAATATAAATTTCGATAATCGAGAAGAATCGGTTTACGTACAACACGTCTGACTCGAACCAATAGTCAGATTTTGGATAGAAGAAATCTAATTTTGCGAATTTGAAAAAGATTTCAAAAAAAGTAATTTATATGTCATATCGATGGACATAGAAAGACTTTTTACTTATACGAAGATAACAGTAGAATAAAACTGCGAATGGAACTTAATACCAAAATTCTATCTCTCAAAAATCTTTCGTCGCAACCCCAAAAAACTGGTAAATCTTCATAATCGAACAGAACAGATCCACGGTTTATGTAACATATCTGTCTATCAATTGATAGGGATAATTAATTGGAGAAATTTAAAAATAACTTAACTCCATAACAACAAAGGATTGAAATGAAAATTTTCCCTTTTCCCTCCCCAAAAAAACTCGTAATCGATTTACGCGGCAACAGTTAACCGGAAGCGACCTCTGTCTGCACCTCGAATCACGCCCCAAGCGTTGCGACACGGCGCGGAATTTCCGTGGCGATCGCACGGCATAACCGTGAAGCAATTGGGAATCGGTTTTAACGCGTTCGCTCGGTCACGATCCTCGCTTCCGCTCCTCTACCGCGGTTTCGTGAAATTCGAAACAATCGAAGCCACCGCCCAGCTCTCGTTCGTTAGGTAAGCCAGACTGGGCTGGCTATACGTATATTCTTCTTCGAAAAGGGGAGGATTGTTTCTCTGAGATTTGATCTCTCCCTTTCGTAATAAGTATTAGTGATAAAAAAGAAAGCATACAACGAATTTATCGATTTTTCTTAGAATCACGAGTAGATATAAGGTGATACAATATAATATAACGTCGAATTTTCTTACCTCGCAAATCGCATCATTGGTCGTAGAAATATTATTTTCGAAGTTTTCGAGTTTCGAGCGTGGAACGTGGCAATGATTCGGTTCGAGCGAACAGATTGTGAAATTACGACAGGAGTTGAGAAAAATTTGCTCTCGATTAAATAAGAAAGACACGGAGTTCAACGAATTCGAAAAACTTTCTTTCCTCGTGCGCGAAATAATTAGAACACGAAAAAAAAGTTTCATACGTCGAATTTGTGCCTGAAATCGAATTACGAGGCAACCGTTGGGAAAATCGTCTCGATTATCCGATCGATTAATCTGCGTTGAGAAGTTGAGTTCTCCGCAAAGTTAACCAGAGAAAAATCGTGCATGCACAGACACTAACGGGAGATTATCGATTGCAGATGGAGCATAGAGGCGATCGGCAGTAGCGGCACCCTAGCAGTCGAGGGGCCCTGAGCGGGGGGCCCCTGGATCGGTCGCGAGAAAGCTGGGCGGCGTTGTAGCGCGGCGATGGCCGCGACCGACGGTCAGATCGTGGTTGCGGCGGCACGCTGGGCCGAGGAAGCGACCTACCTTCGCGAATTCGTCTCCAAGTATCGTCTGCCGGCTGTGATCAAGATCACGAAGGGCCAGTACGGTGGCCTCGGTGTGCCCACCCTTCCCGCGCCCAGCCTGCAGAGCACGGCCCTGCTCGTGTCGGCGGGCCGCAGGCGAAAGATCGTTGCCCAGGCGGTGAAGATCAAGGAGGGGCGGCGAGTGGTCGGGGTCGGGCCCAGACTCGCCATCCCCGACTCGTACGCGGGCTACTTCGAGATTCTGAGCGAGGAGGGGAGGGCGGTCCGTGGTATAGAGTCGGTGAACGAGCTCTCCCGACGATGCCCCGAGGAGGGGGCCCTGGTGCGGGAGACGGTGCGCGGGATAGCGTGCAGGGTGGACGACGAGTCGGGGATAGTGGTCCCGGAGGGGACCAGGACCCTGGCCGCGGGCGAGACGATCGTGACGGCCGGCGAGGTGAGCCTGCCCGGCCGTGGAAGATTTCTCCGTTGCGTGGACTGTCGGGGCGAGAGCGTCCTCCTTGCCATGGATCAGCGGGGCCGTTTCAGCGCGGTGGCGCGCGAGGACAACATAAGCGGGGTGCACACGGCCCGCGCGTTGCTCAGCAAGCGTCTCCCGCTCACCGTGAGGCTGGTGCACGGCCAGCCGCCTAGGGGTCTCAAGTCGTCGTCCCAGTTCGTGCCCGAGCTCAGGCTGTTGTCCACGTTCGAGGAGGAGCACGTGTTCGCGTTGCCGTTGCAGAGAGAGGGGGCCGCGGTCGCGTTGCCCCTGGCCGCCCCTTTGAAGCTGGTGAAGGCGCGGAACGAGGACGCGTTGAGATCGATGCAGGAGTTCAGCAGGCTGGTGGAGCGCGCGTCCCGGCTGGTGGCCGACGTGGCCGACCGGGCCCACGTGCTGGACGGCCGGCTGGGCGAGAGCAAGCAGGCGAGCAGGCAGACGAGGGGCGGGTCCTCGGGCTTCCTCAGGCGATCCGCGAATTCGGGGGACAGCAACGGGGCCCTGGCCCATCACAGGGGCGGCAACCCGGCCACCCATCACCATCATCACCATCACTATCACAGCAACCAGCAGCAGCCCGCCGCCCATTCGGGTTACAGGGACGAGAACCGCGTCCCGCCCTCGGCGTGCACCGAGGAGTACGACGAGATCGATCAGATTTACGACTACGTGCGCGGTTTCGCCCCGTTGCCGAAGAGCGTCAGGTCCCCCTACGAGAGCCCGCTGCCCCAGGGCTCGTCCTCGAGCCCACCCCTGACCCCAGTCACCGTGACCATCGCCCCGCTCCTCGACGACAGACCGGAACCACCCCCGATCGAGACAATACCGACCAAGAAGATCCAGGCCGAGAAGAGGACGAGGCGCGCCGTGAAGGAGGCGCCGCAGCCGAGGGCCGAGAAGCCGCCTTTGGCCAAGCTTTACGTGAAGAACAGCGGCACCCAGAGGGGCCGCCCTCTCATGAGGCAGAAGAGCGCCTCCCCCTTGAAGGAGACCCCCCCGGGATACAAGGGGGGATCACCTCTCTTCAACATCAGATACAAGAGCTTGACGAATCTGCAACAGGCCATGGAGCTGGACGGGACCCTCGACTCCAGCCACTCGGGGGGCAGGACCTCGGGGGACTCTGGTGCTGGTGCTAAGCTGCCGGAGAAGAGGTACTACGAGGCATTCTCTCTCTCTCTCTCTCTC